TTAGACAAATAGACTTTCATATAATACGACATTTCTCAAATCAAACTCGTTTCAATTTTTATTATAAGTGGTTATAATTAATTTAGATTTTATAATTAATTAGATATTAATTTATATTTAAAAATATTTTTTAAATTGTTTATATCTTTGTTAGAAAATATATATCTTAGATTTTCTTATATCTTTGTTAGAAGATATATTTTAGATTTAATTTTGTGTATAAATAGTTTAATGGAGTAGGTTATTGCAATTCATTGTAAATTTTTATTTTGAAGCTGTCAGTAAATATATTTCTTTGGTCTTTTATCTCTTTCTTGTGCAACAACAATTGGTATCTAGAGCTCCTGGTTAGAAACTCTGGGATTTGGGAAACATTGTTTTTATTGAGTTTCTGTGTAAATTGCACAAGGTAGAAGATGAACGGAAACAACGACGATATTCATTCCAAGCTTAGTATTTGATGGCAAAAACCAGAATCGTTGGAAGATCCAGATGCGCGTGTTATTTGGTGCTCAAGATGTGTTAGATCTTGTCACCGATGGCAATGACCTGTTAGAAGCAGATGCAACAGAGGCACAGAAGATAACACATAAGGCGCCGAGAAAGAAAGATCAGAAGGTGTTGTTCTACATCCATCAATATGTGGATGCAAATGTGTTTGAGAAGATTGTTGATTCTGAAACAACGAAGGCTGCATGGGACACACTGGTCAGATGTTACGGTGGTGACGCATCAGTGAAGAAAGTGAAGCTTCAGTCTCTCAGAAAGCAATATGAGAATCTCAACATGAAGGACAACGAGAAGGTTTCTGAATATGTCTCTAGAGTGATTCTGATCACTAATGAGATGAAAGCTTGTGGAGAAACTCTATCTGAACAAGTAATTATTGAGAAGATCTTTAGATCTTTAACTTCTCAATTTGATTATATTGTGGTAGCAGTTGAATATTCCAAAGATCTGAGCACCATGAGAGTTGAAGAGCTGCAAAGTAGTCTAAAAGCGCATGAGTTGCGTATGACTGCAAGAACTTTTGAGAGGGAAGTAGAGCAGCAGACTCTGAAAGTAACTTCTGGTAAGAAACATCGGAAGCAGACTTGGTCAGAAGCCAGGAAAAAAACTAATGGTGGTCAAAGTTCAGAAGCTTCAAACTCTGATAGGCAGAAGAATATCTAGAAGGGAAAGGAGAAGTCTGACAAGAAGAATATTCAGTGTTACTGTTGCAAGAACTTTGGTCACTATGTCAGAGATTGTTGGTCCAACAAAGAAAGGAAGTCAAAAGAAGCAAATATAGCAAGAGGAGATTCTGATGATGAGCATGTGCTATTGTTGGCTTCTGAACCTGATGATCTGAATTCATCAGAATAGTGGTATATAGACACAGGGTGTTCAAACCATCTCACTGGAAACAAGAAATGATTGGTTAATTTTGACTCTGGGAAGAGTACAAAGATCAGATGTGCTGATTATAAATACCTCAATGCAGAAGGTATGAGAAATGTCAGAATCATTCTAAATAATGTGAAAACAGCAGTGATCCAAAATGTATGGTATGTACCTGACATGAAAAGAAATTTGATGAGTGTGGGACAACTGATTGAGAAAGGATTTTCAGTTACCATGAAGGACAATCTTCTGAAGCTGTATGACTGTAATCAGAAGCTGATTATGGAGTCAGAACAGGGAAGGAACAGAACATTCAAGGTGAGTGTTAGAACTACAAACTCTGAATGTTTTAGTGTAACAAGTATTGTCAAGGAGAGTGAGTTGTGGCATAAAAGATTTGGTCATCTGAATTTCAGAAGTTTAGGGCATCTGAAATCAAAGAATTTGGTACATAGAATTCCTACAATCAAGAATCCTGAGAAGTCATGCAAGGTGTGCATGGAAGGGAAGCAACCGAGATTACCATTTGCATCAGAAGTATCTCCAAGAGCAAAGTAAGCCTTGGGAGTAGTACATTTTGATGTGTGCGGTCCGTTTCCAGTAGCATCGACTGGAGGGAATAAATATTTTGTGTCTTTTGTTGACGAGTTCACCAGAATGATATGGGTATCTCTCATAAAGTTCAAACATGAGGTGTTTACTGAATTTAAGAAGTTCAGACTGAAGGCTGAGAATCAGAGTGGCCAGACTCTAAAGATTATTAGAACTGATGGTGATGGTGAGTATAAATCCACATAACTCAGAAGTTTATGTGAGGAGAATGGAATTGAGCATGAGGTTACTGCTCCCTATACTCCTCAACCCAATGGTCTTGCAGAAAGAAGAAATTGTATTTTGCTTGATATGGTGAGAAGCATGCTGAAAGAGAAGAAGATTCCTCATACTCTGTGGGGAGAAGCTGTTGCAACTGCATGTTATGTGCTCAACAGATGTCCAACAAAGAAATTGAAGGAAATAGTTCCTATTCAGAAGTGGAATGGAGATAAGCAAAGTTTTAGTCATCTGAAGGTGTTTGGTTCTGTATGTTACAAACATGTCCTAGAAGACAGAAGTTGGATGATAGAAGTAAAGTGATGTTGCTGGTGGGGAACCATAGTACAGGTTCGTACAAACTCTATTGTCCAGAAACTAACAAAGTTGAGTTCAGCAGAGACATCATTGTAAAAGAATCAGAAGTTTGGAATTGGGAAAGGTCTCGTCCTGAATCTGAAGAGAGAACTCCTGAATTAAAGTCAGAAACACATGTTTATGAAGCTGGTAAAGACTCTGACTCTGAATAAGATACAGAAGGAGAAGATGATTCTGACTCTGACTCCGATGGTGATCTAGACTCTGAAGACAGTTAAGTTTCTGGAGAAAGTCCAAATTCTGAAGGGGAAAGTTCTGGTGTCCAAAGTTCTGAAGGTCCAGTTCAGAGGCAACAAAGAGTCAAAAGCATCCCAAGAAGATTTGCAGAGTTTGACATGTTGCAAGACACTGAAGTAGACTCTGAAGGAGAAGTTATTTAGTATGCAATGTTAGTAGAATCTGAACCCGTGAGTACAGAAGAGGTTCTTAAGCAGCAAGTTTGGTTACATGCCATGAAAGAAGAACTTGATGCTATAGAGAAACAAGACTTGGGAGCTGACAGAACTTCCAAAAGGCAAGAAAGCCATCAGCGTCAGATGGGTTTTCAAGCAGAAGCTAAAGCCAGATGGATCAATTGGCCAACACAAAATAAGATTAGTAGCAAGAGGCTTTCTACAGAAGCCTGGACTGGATTACTTTGAAGTGTTTGCACCTGTAGTGAGACATGAAATAATCAGACTAGTGATTGCAATAACTGCTAACAAGAATTGGCCTCTGATGCATTTAGATGTAAAATCTACATTTCTGAATGGTCCATTATAAGAAGAGGTATATGTATCACAACCTCCTGGATTTGAGAAAAAGAATCAGGAAGGGATGGTGTTCAAATTACATAAAGCCTTGTATGGATTGGAGCAAGCACCCAGAGCTTGGAATTTGAAGATTGATTCATTTTTCAAGGAACAAGAGTTTCAGAAGTGTGAGATGGAGTATGGTGTTTATGTTCAGCATACTTTAGAAGGTAATATGATTCTGGTCTGTTTGTACGTTGATGACATGTTACTCACAGGAAGTTCTAAATAAGAGATAGCTGAGTTCAAGAAAGTTCTCATGAATGCATTTGAGATGACAAATCTTGGGAAAATGAGTTTCTTTCTAGGGATGGAATTTATGTACTCTGAGAAAGGAATCATTTTGCATCAGATGAAGTATGAACTAGAGCTTCTGAAGAGATTTGAGCTAGAACATTGTAAAGTTGCTATCACACCTGCTGATACAAATCAGAAGTTGGACTCTGATTCTGATGGAGAGGATGTGGATGTTACAACCTTCAAACAAATGGTTGGTTCTCTAAGGTATTTGTGTAATACCATACCTGATATTTGCTATGCAGTTGGAATGGTTAGTAGATTTATGAGCAAACCAAAGTGGTCTCATTACCAAGCTGCAGTCAGGATTCTGAGGTATGTGAAGGGAACTCTGAAATATGGAGTGTTATTTCCATCTGGAAGAAAGATTGAATCAGAACTTCTGAGTTATTCTGATTCTGATTGGTGCAGAGATAGAGTTGACAGAAGAAGTACTTCTGGGTACTTATTCAAATTTCTGGGAGGTTCTATTTCTTGGCATTCCAAGAAACAACTTGTGAAGCTGAATATATTGCAGGCGCTCTGACTGCGTGTCAAGCTGTGTGGATTATGAACTTGCTGAAAGATCTGAAGATTGAGGTAAGTAAACCTCTGAAGTTGATGATTGATAACAAGTCTGCAATCAATCTTGCCAAGAATCCAATGTTGCATGGGAGAAGCAAGCATATTGAGACTAAATATCATTTTCTGGGGAATCAAGTTCATAATGGAATGTTAGAAGTTGTGCACTGTAGCACCCACAAGCAGCTGACAGATGTTTTGACAAAGGCTATCAAAATTGATCAATTTCTTGATTTAAGAGATGAAATTGGTGTTGTCAGTTTTAGATAAATATAAATTAAGGAATGATGTTAGAATTAATTTAGATTTTATAATTAATTAGATATTAATTTATATTTAGGAATATCTTTTAGATTGTTTATATCTTTGTTAGAAGATATATATCTTATATCTTCTTATATCTTTGTTAGAAGATATATTTTAGATTTAATTTTGTGTATAAATAACCTAGTGGAATAGATTATTGTAATTCATTGTAAATCTTTCTTTTGAAGCTGTCAGTAAATATATTTCTAATAAAAGTAGATGTTTATCATCTTATTATAGTGCCATGAATATTATTGTCCATTGGGTCCCAAATCTTCTTGCCTATCTTTGTCATTCTATATAAATGTAACTGTATTATTATATCCATTTTTTCATTGTTATTATAAAAAATATATTCACCTAATATTATACAGTTTTATTAATGTACATAAATTAAGAAGAAAATAGTACAAACAAGATGTTCTTATTGCAACTATTATTGAACAATACAAGCTAATACTAATACTTAATAATTTAATTTGTCGCAGTGGAAATGCTGTTGCTATTGCTCCACTTAAGAGCCAACTTAGAGATCATGTTCGTGGAAGTTCCATTTTCACCCAAAGTTTTTGCAGCAGCCTCTTTAAGATCCTTCATTTTATAACGAAGCTTCTTCCCTTCTTCACCTTCCATCAAACACTTAACAACACTAGTAATTTCTTGTCTCTCAATCAAACCACTCTCACCAACATTTGGTCTCAACCCAACCTTAACATCCTCAGTTAAAATAACAGCATTCATTTTCTGTTCAGCATAGAGTGGCCAAACAACCAAAGGCACCCCATTCACAACACTCTCAAGAACAGAATTCCAACCACAATGACTCAAAAACCCACCGGTCGACCCATGGGCCAAAACCTGTGGCTGTGGAGCCCATGATGAAACAACTAAACCCCTCCCTTTAGTTCTTTCTAGAAATCCCTTTGGTAGAAAATTAAAAGGATCGGAATCTGTTTCAGCACTGAAATAAGATGCATTTGCAACTTTATCATTTGGGCTTCTAACTACCCATAAAAACCGTTGCTCACTCTTTTCTAAACCAAGTGCTAACTCAATTATCTGTTTACTAGAGAGGGTCCCACCACTTCCAAAAGACACAAATAAAACACTTCCATGTGGCTGATTATCTAACCACTTCAAACACTCTGAACCGTTTGGACCGGTTTGAGCTAGTACTTCTCTATTAATCAACGGTCCGACCGGGTAAAGAACCGGTTTGACTTTCCCCGGTTCATCTTTTTGTAACTCCTTGATTGGACCCGGTTCGAGTTCAAGAAAACTGTTTTCAATAATCCCATCCGCTTCGGTGTATCTCTTGGCGTTACGAAGAACACTTCTGTAAGCGTCGTTTTTCCGATCTTGAACCGGGTCTAGTAAATCTTTACCGTGAACCGGAATACAACCGGGGATTTTTACCGGTTCAGTGAGTTCTCTATACTCGCTGTGAACCTCTTGGTCTAAACGTGGGAGATAAAGAAAAAGAGAAAGAGCCATGGCAGTTGAAGGGTAGAAAACGTATTTAGGGAGGTTGAATTCGTCGGCGACGTTGAAAGCGTCGGTGGCAAAAAGATCGACGAGAAGGGCGGTGATAGTATGAGAAACGGAGAGTGAGTGGATGGTTTGGCGGAGAGAAGGGAGAGAACGGAGGACAGTGAGGGAGATGATTGTTTCAACCTTAGTGGTTGATGGAAGATCGGAGAATGAAACGGGTGGAAGGAAAGTGTGTGAAATGGAACTTGGAAGAGATTGGAGAACGGTGATTTGTGCTTTGGAAGGAGGGCCTTCGTTAGGGATGAGGAAGGTGATGTGGAGGTTTTGGTGAAGAGGAATTCGTTTGGCGAATTCAATCATCGGGATGAGATGTCCCATGCCTGGTGACGGTAGCATCACCACCATAGGTGGTGGCGCTGGTGCTGTAACCGCTATTTGTTTTGGAGGTTCCATGAAATGAAATTGGAATTAAAACGCAAATGAAATGAAAGAAAGTTGTTGCGTTATTGTTGAGAGTTTGAGGAAGAAGGGAGTGTTTATATATAGAGAGAGTCTGTATATTAATGATTGATCGTGCTGAGTGGCAGCTAGCTAGCGCTTGAATTTCACTGAACGACGTTTTAATATTTTTTCTTTTTTTCTTTTCATTATTATGGTAATGCTATTGCTTTTAATAATGGATCACTTTATGAATATTAAATTTATTATTTAAGGTTTATATAAATTTATGGAAAACCTTAAATAATTTATGGAAAATATTAACTAATTTATTTAAGAAATTTTATAAATTTTAGTAATTAAATTTTTTCATTAACATTTTTACTTAATAATATTTATATCATTCTTAATTTAAATTGTTTTTTTTTGGTGAGAAAATATTGCACTTATTATGGTTATTCCTAATTCGAGATATTAATTTTTCTACATGATAGTGATTTATATGTTAAAAATTATTAGATTTTTAAAGTAAATATCAATACATATATATGATGAATAATTATTCTAATCTCTATTATAATAAAATGTCTGTTTTTAAATTATTGAATAATTTATATATTTAGACTAAATATAGAATAAATATATTATTAATTTAATAAATTTATAAAATAATTTTTTTATATTATGGATTGGGAAGAGTATAATTTAGTAAAATACTTTTTTTTCTATTTTTATAAATAAAAAATTACTTTTAAATTTAAAAAAATAATGGGTGCATATAATCTATATAATTTAAATACATTTAATAAATATAATGCATAATAAAGAATGAAGTGAGTGGTTTTTATTTTATTTTATAAATTAATAAAGCAGTAGATGGTGTGAAAATTGAAGTAATGGAAGAGTTGGGTAATTTTGTTTTGTTGTTGGGTGTTGGGTAGTGAAAAGGAGGGCATTATGGGTTTGAGATGATTGGGTGAGAGAGTAAGGTTAAAGTTGTTGGGAGTAAGTAGAAATGGATGGATAAGAATATTAGTATAATAATGTAATGGAGAGTTCATATACATATTGATAGACAATGTTATCTAGAAGGAAAACGATGAGTAAGTGGAGTGGGGACGGATCTTTCAATAAAGGGATGATGTCAATTCATACGTAAGGCTTATGCCATAAACAATAAACACACGTATGGATGAGTTTCTTTTTCTTTTCTTGCTACGTGCATTTCAGTTATTATTGATGTTAGATCCCACACGTTTTAATTATTGCCTTCATTTTCAACCAAGCGGGAATGGAAAAGAAAGAGTTATTAGGATTTTTGAACCTGGACGGCAGAGTTTGAAATAATCATCTACTACTATTAAACATAGGCGGCTTACCTTGGCACTGAACGCTTAGCAATGCAAATTCAACATTTTGCTTGTGTTGTGGATGGTATCAAGAAATTAGTTACAACTTCTTTTTCGAGTAAGTATTTATAATTTCTTTTAGATAATGTAGTTGAAATCTGATTAAACATTGAAATAATATAGTTGAAAGTTTTAAGTTTAAAGGTTGAATCAAAATTCAATCAAGATCGATAATACAAATTATATATTTTGATCTTAGAAAGAATCAAGATGCTCACAAATATGTTAGTGAGCTTGAATCTAATGGTTGATCTAATGGTGAACTTTGACTTATAATAGGCATTTTGATGTTGTTGTCCCGTCATGTATTAGTAAATATTATTTTGTAAATTAGAATCAATTTTCATTCATTTGTATTAATTGTATATGATACATGTGATTATATATATACAATTTTGGACATCGTAGAAATATTAATCTCAATTAGGTTATAAAGTCGTCTGAGAAGAGAATAAGACTAGTGTCTGATCCATAATAAGGAGGGATATTTGGGAGGAGGTGCAACTCGACTAAAGGTGTTGGACGACCTTCATTTTCTCCAGACAGTAATCCATCTGTGCTACCTACTCTAATAGTTCTTGTAACTGGAGTCCACATGCTCGTATTCAATCAGTAATCCAGTTCATTAATGACTATAATGGTTGTCGGCGTATTAAACTCAATGTTACATAGCTTTGAACACCTTCATTCATGGTGACGACGACATTTATCCAGTTATGAAGTCCAAGCATCACACCTTGATTGAGGCTCTTAATAATACAAAAGGAAGACTATATAAGGGACTCCCGCAAGAGAGATAAGCAAGATATTCTTCTTGGGACAATATGCATCATTGTCGTAGCTCCCGAATCCCCCAAATAATCTACAAAAATCTACCCCTTACGGCTCTCCTTATACCTCTAAGAAAGCTACTTGTTTATTGTTCATATACAAAAACAAACCCTAATGATTAATAATATATATTTATAATATTAAAATGTACTCTCTAAAGTGAAATTAATTTTGATATTCATTTGTGTTTATGATATTTGTGTGTATTATTATTCACAATATAAAATTTATTTGTTTAAGAGACAATTATAGATTCAAAAACATTTTATAAAATTTATCTTAATATTATAATTGTTGGTTTTAATTATTTGATCCATTCTCACGACAACTATTTTGATCTCTTTGTCTCATATTTCATCGTCTATCAATATTGTCAACTTATATATAATTGAATGGATTTTTATAAGTAATATATATATATATATATATATATATATATATATATATATATATATATATATATATATATATATATATATATATATATATATATATATATATATATATATATATATATATATATATATATATATATATATATATATATATATATATATATATATATATATATATATATATATATATATATATATATATATATATATATAATCGTATCTGATCAGAAGAGATTGTCAAGGTCCACGAGCTTTAAATTGAGCAACGGTTGAATGTGAAATGGGGGGATACCTGCAAGACACTCAGATGCCAAAATGAGGTTTATAGTGAGAGCAAGTAAAGTAGATGAGGTAATGAAGGAATGATGATACCTGACCCTCTCACGTGAGAGGGTATTTATAACCCCCAGCGCTGGGACAAGATCCATGTAGTGGATCAAGTGATTTGCGCCCAACAACAAGGACTTCTAGGATTTACGTGGGTAATAGGATCCAGCACGTGGGCCCTTTCCTGGTAAAGTGCCCCGAGAATATAGGGACAATGGACCCGTTATTCTCGGAGGGCAGGTGGTGATTAATGTGACTAGGGACACGACACATTCTCTAATGGGCACGTTGGGAAAATCCCCAACGGCTATCTGATTTGGGCCATAGGCAAAGGCACTAGACTGGGCCTCCCCAACAGTGGGGCAAGTGTCGACCCAGTCCAGAATAGGAGTCCTCCAAGTTATTGCCCTTAAGCGAAAGGGTGATGACTTGATACCAGTTTGAGTGCAGGGGAGGTGTTGTCCGATTGGGGAAACTGTCAACTCCCGTCGGGGACGGCTCCGTGTTTCATGTCGAGGATTCAAAGATTTGCACGTGATGTGCCCGAGTCAGCTATAGGGAGAGTTTCATAGGTCGAGCTCGCCCTTTGCTCGTATCGACGAGGCGTCCAATAATAATTTTCGCTTATTGGGAGGCGACGAGTTTCCTCGAATGCGCGCCTATGATGTACCCGTTCATGAGGCGTTACAAATGATATCGAGCGTTTGTCCGCCAATAAGAGTGAAATGGCGCAGGCGTATGGTATTGCATGAGACTGTTGTGGGAGACATGTCATCTCGCAAGCCCCACATGGCAACTGTTTTGGGTGTCATCATTGCATAGGGAAGTCTATGAAAGGGGAATCAGAAATTCACTTTGATATTTTCAAGCTTTCCTTTCTCCCATTTCCCTTGCGCTCGTCTTCTCCAACACCGCCGTAGGCACCTTCACGCTTATCTCATCCAAGTAAGTGATTTCATCTTGTTCGTGTTGTTTCTCAGATTTTTTAGCTTAAACACTTAGGTTTTTCCATGAACGGATGAACCTCTGGATGAAGATTCATGGGTTCTGGAATGAACCTCTATGGATGTTCATCTAGGTTCATGGATGTGGATGAAGATTCATGTTTCAAAATTTCGTTCTGACTTGCATCAGGGTCGTCCTCCCCATATAATGGGGAGGATTTTGGCAACTTTCCCGTTCGATGAAATGTCCCCTCATAGGGTTTCGACCTCACTCCTCGACACATTCATCTCCCTTTCACTTGATTTACGGTGGAAGGGTGAATTTGATGATGTCGAATTCACTGATTTCCCCTGATTTTCAGGTACGATGGCATGCCCAGTCGAGGAAGGTATCGTGCCCGATACCAATGAGGGTGACGATATGGTCGCGAACGACCCTTTGGATTAGGTCGTGCCCAAGCCCCAAAGTAAAAGGTCGTGTTTTTTGAAGGACGCTTCTGATGAGTTCAATGTCCCCGAGGACCGAGCAGAGGGCGCCCCTGCCAACTGGGTTCTTAAAATCCCGCATCAAAGCCGGAGGATATGCTCGTCATTCCCGGGTAAACGCTTCCATATGTATGAGTTCTTCTTTAAAGAAGCGGGGATGTGTTTTCTCTTCAACAATTTCCATGTGGGGGTCTTCCAATGGTTGCAACTGGTACCCTCTCAGCTTTATCCGAATGTTCTCGCGTTTATCCGGGCGTTCGAGCTAGTATGCCAATATCTAAAAATTGGTGCCACTTTGACCTTCTTCTTTCGTATCTTTCACCTACAACGGTAAACCATTGGAAGGTGACAAGCCTTGGTTTCATTCAAATAGTTCGAAAAACTCTTCTGGTCGTACCTTAAATTTGTATGCAACTTTAAAGAGAGGTATTTCATCGTGAAACCTCTTATTGATGCGGCCGTGGATTCTTTGTACGACCGCTCGAAAGAGGCCGAGGATGGTCGGACAGTGGCTCGACTTATGGAAAAGTTTCCTCTTGAGTGGCAATGGAAACGTTTTGAGAAGAAGCCCGAGTATTATGCGGTGAAGCCCAAATACTTAGATGCCCAAGATAAGCTCTCTT